ATGGTTTCAGCCCAATGGTTGGTTGAAATGTCGAAACAGCATCGAAACAGCCTCACTGTTTCAACGAAGTGAAAGGGAACAGCTGTTTCGACTCAAAATTAAATTCAAAACAAAACTCTGTTTTGTCCAAACCTCAAAACTGAAGTCAAAATGGAACAGTGCCATTTCACACAGCCCTATTAAGCAGTGCTTCTTGGGACTTTTGTATTTAAAGGGGATGTCTATATTGCAGCAGCAGTCTGCTCCTGAGAGGATGTTTCCAAGCACAGTCCACCTCTTCACTCCCTCATGTAAAATTCAAACCTAGAAATACAGTGGTGAGGCTGCTCAGGGGTCTTCCCAAAGGCTTGCTCTCAAGCTTGCCACAGACCAAGTACCATACTACAACCTTAAACCTGTGTCCTCAGCCTGCCACACTGCAGCTTGTCACCCAATTTGGTCAAGGCTGTCCTGAAGCCTCCAGCATTATATGGTCCTACACCCACTCTCTGGCAACAGAGTGGCTTGTTGGGGTCAGCTGATCCTCCACTTTCCCAACCCCCACCCCTGACTGTGCACAGGAATTGTCTAGGCAACAGGGCTTAATCTAGTCCTATGCTGCTCTGCCTGATCTTCTAGCTTGCTGACTCAGCTTGTTCCTAGACCTCACTCTCAGACTGACCTCCTGGCTTCCTGACCCAGCCTATCCCTATATTTGCTTGCTTCTCCTGACTCTGGTCAGCACCTTGTTTCCTTGAGTGTCTTCAAACCTGGTTGCCCACAACCTGGTGTGATACTGTGATCCCAGGGGCAGCCATGGAGGGACACTGTGGATGACTTGACTGGGGCCTATCAATATTTGGAGCATTTCATGGGAGAAAAGGAGGCATACCTGAGAGCAGCCTGGACAGGTGCAAATTATAAATAGAGTTATTAACCATTTTTGCAACTTACCAAAAGTTGTGGACTCTCCATCATTTCTAGTCTTGACTTCAATACTGAATAGTTTTCTGTTGTTGTGCTGCCTGTCCCCTCCCTGGTCTGCTGCTTACATACACACACAACAGCTGCCTGTACCATTTGTGGTACATGTGCAGCAGGTTGGCCAAACCTGATCTAGCCAGATCTCCTACATAACACTCAAGCTGTAGAAATTGAAACGTATGCATAATGTGTCTTTTGGAAAGCTATCTAGTATTTAAGTCAAGACTGGAAATGATGGAAAATCCACAACTTCTAATAAGTGATAACAATGGTTAATTGCTGTATTGAAAATGTGCACTTCAATTTTAGTCTGAATTTGCTGGCTTCAGCTTCCAACTTTTGGCTCATATTATGCTTTTACCTGCTGGAGGACTCTCATCTATCAAAAGTCTTCTCACCATATAAGTAGGTCTGGTTTGGGAAAAGTAACCCTGCGATTTTTTTTTCTGATAAATTAAACAGAATAAGCATCTTACAGTAGCTTCACTCTATAAGTGTTGTCTAATTGTTCTGGTATCTTCTTTTCCACCCTTTCCAGTTTTTCATTATCTTGAGGTGGAAGCTGTGGAAGAGAATGAGAGAAGTCGCTCTGTACCTTAACCTCCGTCTGTGGAGGGAAGCTTCCTGGCAACCAGGCACTTCTGTCTGGGCTACGATTCCTGGAAGAGGGGTCCACCTATGCCCTGTCTGTGACCACCTCTGTTCAAGGACTAGTGTACCTAATGTGAACAAAAAAGTTAGGCTAAGACAATGTTCAGACTCCACATCACTGATTTTTCCTGCAACAGGAAACTGACTTAAAAGGCTAAGAGTCTGTAACTGCTCAGCACAAGACAAACAATACAATCACATACCATTTACACAGTAGGCTAAGTCCTATCATTTTTAGTAAGACCAAACAGACCTTGATTTAACTGAAGTCAGGTCTGAATGAAAACTATAAGGTTCGCACTCTGTCTGTGTATAGGTAGATCAGTAATGGGGTTATAACAACAGGCTGCATATTAAAAAAAAATTAAAACCATCAGGAGGGCATGATTGTATGCAAATAAGTATTTTGCAACAACAGCTTGAACTTCTTTACACAGCTGATAATGAGAGATTTATATGGAAAAGTGCATTGTTGAACACGAGTGGGGTTTCTGCCTATTGGGGTTGGAGGAAGGAATTAAGCCTGTTTGAAATAAATCAATTAATTGCCAAGTTGTTAAAAATACTACGAATAAAGCTTGACTTTTTTTCCCTTCCTTTCTTAGCTTCTTGAATCATAACAGGTGCTAGTGAGAGTGCCAATCCATGGCATACTGCAGTATGTCTATGCTAACAGAAATTCTGGCCAGAGCACAGCATGACTTGCTTATTTGATCATGGGCGCAGAAAGTGCCTTTGCACATACCAGTCAGATACCTGCTGACCTAACTGTCTATTTGCATGTGTAAAAAGGGATTGTAGCAGGGATAAGAGATGAACCATCTTTGGGAAATGCTCCTTAATACGTACTTTGCGTACCTGATTTTTCTTTTTGGAGGTTCCATAAACTTTGAGCTCCTATCCGTCCCAGGAAATACAACATTTCACTCAACTATGATTGAACAGGAAAGGGATCTCCCTGCCCTTTATTGCAAATTTCCCTTTGGTGGGTTTAAAACTCTTTAAATGGTGGCCTGACTTTATTTACTGTGATTTCTTGCTCTGACTTGGTAAAGATTCCACAATGGCTTTTTTCACCCAGGGTTTAGCAATCTAAAAGTGTAAAAAAAGAGTACACAGCACACCAAATTAACACTGATGTAACTCAATTTTATTCAGCTCCACTACATCAGGGCTGTCCACCACTGCTAGAGCTGCTCGTTGGCACAACTCTGAAACACCAGGGGGTGAATGCTGCCATGACTTCCCATCTCATTCCTTTGCCTGCTGCTGAATTCAGTGTCTTTGGTCACTGTGGGTGATTAAAATTGGTACCAGGGGATAAAGGAAGGCAAGTGGCAGTGCCATTCACCCCACAAATTCCAGAGTCACGCCAATGTAGCAGACTCTAGCAGCAGGGGTGACAAACAAGCAGGTTGTCCAGTTTGCAAGAAGCCCTGCGGTCTGGATCTGACCCACAGGAACAAATGAGTTGGACTCCCCTGACTACATAAAGGTGAAATAAACCTAGAATCCTTTTCACCAGGTTCTCTGATCGGAATGTATGTGCTCTATGATAAAAAAACCCAGAAGTTCCTTGAGGAGGTCAACCTCACAGACTCGGTCAATGCCTTGCTCGCTTGCGCTCTCTCTCTCTCTCTCTCCAGAACAACTCTCCTGCTCAGCAGTAAGTCTGCAGAGGGCTCTCTTCTCTTTTCACCTTTTAATCATAATTTGTAAGTGGATATGGTGACTGGAAAAACTGCACGATCAACAGTTCTCAGAACGGAGGTTCTCCGATTATCCACATAGCAGGTAACTGGACAACTGTAGTGCAAGTTTCCTTCCATTGCCTCATTAATGTGTCTCTGGCCTGACTGGGTTAAACCATGTCTAGAAGTAAATGGATATTTCAGTATCTGTACCCATTCAGTTCCCAACCTCTGATGCAGCCATGATGGTAATCTGAGCATCTACCCTCAAAAGCCCCTTACAAGAAAACAGTAGGTAGGTAGTAAAGAAGATAAATAGTTAAATATCACTGGGTGTCCTTGGTCTCTGCTCTGCTCTGTAGGGAAAAGGGGAGAGCTGGTCAGCATCTAGGCAGCCACGATCCCACTGTGTACACGCACCCGCTGACATCTGTTCAGTTAGAGAGGGGGTTCCCTCCACATACCACCGGGGTTACATATATCCTCAGCTATAGTGAGATACAGTAATCAACCTGGAAGTGGCAAATGTATTCATCTCCAGTATTTAACCAGTCCCCAGAAAAAGGGATAAAGTTTGCTAGCAGTCTTCAGGTAAAAGAAGGCACTTCTGGGAACTGTTGCAACAGTAAGCTCAGTAAGCCACTCCACAATTGAAAAAGCCTCTTGGATATTGTGGAAGAAAGCCAGCATTTCTAAAAATTAAATGTTTTTAAAGTAAAAATCAGTCAAATCTGAATAATGAGGGGTCAAACAAACAAGACCCAAAGGCTTCAAAGCAGCATGATTCAATAAATACATACGTTAGTCAAAGGTGGAGACACTATCATAATCAGTTCTTTGAGGCATTTCCCCTTTCTGGCCAGCATTATTTTGGTCTTGTTTGCATTCAGTTTGAATCAATTACTCTCAGAAAATGAGAGCAGTCCCCTGTTGTGTCTTGGTCTGTACCTTGTGAGAGTGATCTAGATGTTTTTATCTTTTATCAGCCAGGAGAGACATGGATCCGTTATATAGGTGGTGCTGTCATACTGATCAGGGCTTCCTGAGCTTAAGCATGTGTGATAAAGTTACATTCACTCAAAGGTGGTGGGGCATAGCCTGACCTGGGGCAGAATTTTCTTTCCCAGTTACTTCAGCTGATCTTGTCAGGGAAGCAGGCTGACAACAGTTCCAAACAGCAGTCAGTGCTTATGCCTATTGGCTGGGGTATGCAGTCTAGGTTGATTAACCAGTTCCTGAGGCAAAATAGTTCAGCTGGCCAAGTTTTACTGTTATAGGTAGAGAAGTAGAAGGCTCTTTTTGCCTCCTTTACAACAGTGTTGGGCCATAGTTTCATTTACTTGCAGAATAGCTATGAAGTATATATTTTTGCTTTGTTTGTATATTACTATACCTGACATATGTTAGACAATTAACTGGTTAACTGTGCAAAAAATGTAGACCAGCCACATGAGCAAAGTAATTATCACACAATAAAAATGTCTATCCAAGTCTAAAAAGAGCTGACAAGCTACAAAGTTAGTGCTTGAAAATGTGTGATAACACTATAGCTGGCTTATAGTTTTAATTTGAACATGTGGCAGGGCCCTTACACTGTTCTTTTCTTTTCCACCCTCTAATTTTCCTCCACTTCCGAGCTCATGCACACCATCCAGAATGAATCAAACACCCACACAATTTAGGGCACAGTGTAACAAACACTTGTAATTTGAACCTGTTTTTCCCCTCTTTTATTATACATCATAACTGGGAGTGTTTCTTAATGATGATTTAAAGCAGTACAGAAATGGGTGCTGCTGCTTTGTGGGCACTTAGCTGTGTTGCATTTCTCTCTGAGCACACTGACAACTCATTGAAACAGTGAAAACTAACTGTTTTCCCCTTGTAAGTCACTAAGCAGCTCTTTAATCCACCATATCACTTATTTTCTCTGTTTTATAACACCTTTTTCTTATAAGCAAGTTTTTCATCCATACATTTCAAGGCCCTTGGCAAAAGCAAAGGAGTCACCCCCCAGTTTGCACATCAGGAAACTGAGACAGCCATTGAAGGAACTTGTCCAAAGTCCCAGGGCAGCGGTATGTCAAAGCCAAGTACAGACATTCCTCTCCTGAGCCATATCCGGTGAACTATGCGACTGCTACACAGCATTCCCACATTTCCTCAAGCTACCCTGCTCCTCTGGCAGACTTTGCCCATGGTACAACATTACCCAGTTTTTGCTGTTTATTCCATGTTCACAATTAGCCAAAAAGGCTTATTTTGTCAGAACAGTCAAGCAAATATTTCTACTTTCTGCTCTCTCCTCAGCTCTTCTATGGAACTAATTATCTTGGTAGCCACCCTTACTCAAGGGCATGATTCAAAACCCTTGTGAAGTTAACAGCAGACTTTTAATTGGATTAAATTAGTTTTTGGCTCAGGCCTAAGTCTACCTTGCTGCTACCCTCCTCTATTTTTCAAACCCTTTCTTAAAGTAATCTTAAGAGAGACTTACAAAGCAAGTCTTCTTTGCCCCAAATATTAATCAATAGATGGTAAACTATATTTAAATGCCTACTGAAATGAACAAGACAGTGCTAATTTTACCAATTCCTTGTCTATTATTGTAATGGTATTGAGTGATATGATTCCGCCCCCTCCACTCCACAGGTGATGAGACCTATTAAGAATATTAGCCAAGGGAGTCCTGCTTCAGCTCCAAAAGTGATAGGAGTCTCCAACTCTGAATAGAAAGAAAAAGAGTTGTAGCATCAGTGCCTCTCTGTGGAAGCAGATTTTTTATATGCTTATTATGTTGTCTGTTTAGATCGGTGATTCTCAGCCAGGGTGCCACAGCACCCTATGGTGCCTTGATATCCTTTCAATGGTGTTACAAGGTGATATGCACTGTTAGCTATGCAAACATAATCCACAAGATAAACCCAGAGATTTTAAACAGAAATCCATAGTTGTGAGTTCTTTATAAACAAAAACTGCTCTAATATTTTTCTGTGGTCAGTAAAAGAGTGAAAACAAAGAGCTAGCATTTTTGAGGGGTGCCTCAACTCTATCCAGGGGTGCCTTAAGTCTAAAAAGTTTGAGAATCACTGGTTTACATTTATAGCTTTTCAAGCCAAGGACTCTGCTTACATATTTGCCTGTGAAGCATATGATATTCTTGTGATTCCATTGCAATAATCATATATATCTCTTATGATGGAATAGGTCAGTTACTCCACAGCTGAAAACTCTCTTGGATATTGTAGAAGAGAGCCAGCATTTCTAAAAAATAAATATTTTAAAAGTAAAAGTCAGTCAAATGCATTCATACTTAATATCCCCATCAACTACTTTGTTCTTATCAAGGCAATATCAGTACATTCCTTTAATAAATCTTTCATGCCTTTTTTCACTTTTAATAATGGGAGAGGCTAAACATTTTTATAAAAGTGTTATGTGTTTACTACAAAAGTTTCTTTGAGTACAAGAAAGTAATTTTAAATACAGTTGTGTCTCATGATTGTAAAATGTCTTATGTATGGGCAATTGGATGCAGCTCTATCTCCAGCTCATTCAGTAAATTCTTGGAAAAGACATGAAATCTTATTAAAAAGGAACAAGCTGGCCCAAAAGATAAATGAGCTGATGAAAAAATATTAAAAAACCCCAGTTTATTCCAGTGAAAAGAATGGTGATATCAAACAAATCAAATTATTCAGGGTCTGTCTGCAGGAGACAAGTTGGTATCTGGAGCCATTTATGTAACTGTAACATGATTGTAGACAATTTCAGAACTAAGAAGTCAAACTATATTTTTGTAACCAGACCATAACATACTAATAACAAGTTCAATTCAGCTGCAACCACAACAGCTTTTTATACAACCCAGTATCAGTGCTGCTCTCACATTCACATATTCCACTGGGACTGAATGCATTTGAATCTCTGCGTTCTGGAAAACCACAGAGCAATGTCCAGAGCACATTACACAGAGCAGCACCAGTGGCATGTAAAGAAAGAGCTAAACAGAAAACTGAACAAAAATTGGCAAAAATACTCAAGACACTGAAATTTCCCAGAATTTTTCTGAAGAGCTCTGTATGCTGCAGTGCATCCTACCTCACTGGGATGTCAGAGGAAATAAAGGAATGTCCATGGGAACACAGGATTGGAATGGACCTCCCAGGCTACCAAGTCCTTTCAACTATATTTGCAGCAAGCAAGCTAAGCAGATTCAGAAGCAAGGGTAAGAATTCACATCTATGAAGCTCAAGAGTATAATGGCATAGTTTAGTCAGCTGTGTGCCAGTCAGACCTCTAGCACAGATGGCACACAGTCAGGTGCCATGATTACCAAACATGTTTACCATACTGCATGTAAATACAACCACGCTTAGAGACAGTTGCTAAGTACGTACAAAAGATACAGTTAAAAGTGATAGCATACACCAGGGCTGTCCAACTTCTGAGCAGCCCCAGGCAACTCCCCCCTTGAGCTGTGAGCCTGTGTACTGCATGTTGCATGGGATTCCTGCCACACGGGCTGTGCAGACCCCCTACCACCACTGCTGCATAGGCAGCATGCCCCCACTGGATGGACTGCCTTGCCCCACCACCATCAGAAGCTTGGAAGAGGGAGGAGGCCATCCAGATACCCCAGCAGAAGCAGCAGGGGTAGTGGCTGGGTGGGAGTTCATGAGCTGGGTGTTAACCCTTTACAGGTTGGATGCAGCCAGTGGGCTGCCAGTTGGACAGTCCTGGCAAAGACAACATGCAAGCTCAGGTGAGGAGCTGAAGCTTGTGCAGTCTGGAGATTCAAATGTGAGGAGATGAAAGCCGGCACAAGTTCTGACCTCTAGAATTCAACTGCTCCACTGAAGCCCGAGTTTGCTGATCTTTAGGGCAAAGCCCATCTCCCTTCACCATCTTGTGCCAGAAGTAGTAAGGGAAGCTTGCAATTGGCATGAATAATTGAAGGGAGAGTTACATGTTTTTATTCAGCTTTGCAGCATACCAAGTCATGCTTTGTACTGTATATTTGCCCAGAGGTTTATCTAACAGTTGCATTTTATAAATATTGAAGTTAGGGTGGTCCATTAAGAATAGAAGCTGGCTACACCCAAATTCAGATCCCTATCACAGACTTTCATATTCCCGATGTGATTCTCTAATTTCACAACCTCCTAAACTGAAATAATTACTCAATTGTTCAAAAGCTTGCTTCTGTGTTATTATTACCTTAGTCTAAGGCAGTGGTTCTCAACCTTTATAAAGCCTTTTTGAATTTGGTGGCAGCCCTGGGACCACTGTTGTGCTGCCTTGACTCCATATAGCATCTCCTGAAATACAAAGCGCATGGAGGGGCAGCAGGTAGAACTGTCCTGTGTGCCTCTTTTTGGGAGGAGGAACCAAGCCAGGAAAGGCTTTAGCCCAAGACTTTAAAGAGTTTTAATGCTTTTTTCCATTTAAAAGCATTAGTTATATTTAGCTCTCCTAATAAGACAAAAAGTATCCCCATTGATACCCATTTGTATCAATTTCAACTGTTGTATGTTGTCTGCTGCCCTTACAGATACACAGCAAATAACTACAACCTTGGAATTTAGTCTTTTTTTCTAAAGAGAAAGCATAGGTTGCTGCTGAACATTAATTAATACATTAAATAATATTTGCTATGTATTCCCATTTATTCTCCTAACTACCCTTAACATTTTAAGATGAGTCATTTCAGATCTTATTCCAGGGCCACCATATTTGTAATTTCTTAAAATTGATTCATAGATTCATAGACATTAGGGCTGAAAAGGACCTCGCAAGATCATTGAGTCCAGCCCCCCTGCCATAGGCAGCAAGTCTACTAGGGTCAAATGATCCCAGAAAGATGGGATCCAGACACCTTTTGAATGAGTCTAGAGTAAATGTTTGCACCAGACTCTGGGGGGAGTCTGTTCCAGACCCTGGATGCTCGGACCATAAAGGAGTTTTTCCTTATGTCCAGTCTAAATTGGCCTACCAGAAGTTTGTGTTCGTTAGACCTAGTTATCCCTTATGGGGGGTTGTCCTGGTGAACAACTGTTCTCCCAGATCCTGGTGCACCCCCCTTATATACGTATAGATTGCTGTCAAGTCCCCTCTATGGGCGTCCCCTCTGAGCCTTCTCTTCTCCAGGCTGAAGAGTCTCATGTCACTTAGCCTCTCCTCATAAGGCTTGCTCTCTTGGCCTTTGATCATGCTGGTGGCTCTGCTCTAAACTCTGTCAAGCTTATCCATGTCCCTCCTGAAGTGGGGAGCCCAAAACTGGATGCAGTACTCTAGCTGCAGCCTCACTAAGGCAGAGTAGAGTGGGAAGATGATGTCCCTGGTTTTGCCTGAGATGTATCAGTAGATGCATGCCAGAGTTTGGTTTGTTTTCCAGCTACAGCATCACACTGATGGCATATGTTCATCTTGTGGTCAATCAAGACCCCCAAGTTTCTTTCAGTCGTGGTGCTTTTTGATTCATGTTAATGCAACTTTAATAAACATTATTAGAAAGACACAGATTTGTAATGTACAAACCTGCACAGTTCAGAGGTTCTCCACAAATAAGAAGTCAGCCAAGAGCAATTTAGGAATTGGTAGGTGCCTTTTACATTGCTAAGGACTACATGCTGACTAGGAGCTAGTTGCCCTTGATCTCCTAAAGTAAAGATTATTAAATACTTGCAAAAATGTTCTGTCTACCAGGAAAATGGATTAGTTTAAAGAATTTGACTTTGAACTCACTAGCTTGATAGCATATAAACTGTGACCTGCAATATTCTGTTTCTCAGATTAGATCCTAGTAGTTCATACTTCTTGATAAAAACAAATCTTGTTTATTATCTTCATGAAAAGAATCTAGCAATGTTCTGCAGACAACTCTGTACAATAACCAACAGCACTCTCTGCTCTCAACTGGATCACAAAACAACATACGCTCCCTGTTTCAGTTTCCAGCAACTTCTCTTAAAGAGACAGTGTACTGGTTCTGCAATAGGCAAGCTCACATAACCAATCTCAGCAGACAGACAAGCCAAAAATTTAATGTTCAAAGAAAATTAGGTTCCTTCCAACCCTTAGAAGTGCTTCTATGCTCACAAGCAGGGCTGCAGTAGGCATAAACAAAAAGTCAGTTAACTGGACACCTATTCCCATAATCATAAAAAATCTCAGTTATTGAAGGGCAGGCTTTGCTGTAATAAACCTCTTTTTATTTTTGGTAATAATTTTTCAGGAAGAATTCTATATATAGAATAACTTGGGCCACTCTTGCCTCAGCAAGTGTGTGCAAGAGACAGGACTCTATATTGGGTGCACAAAGCACAACCTGTACCCTAAATACCAGTCCTTTTTAATACTGAACTATCCCTTAGATGAGGGGTTGTCAACCAGGGGTATGTGTACCCGTAGGGGTACTTAGAAAGGTTGCAGGGGGTACGCATGAGTGAGCAGGTGGGGACAGAGCATGCCCTGGGGCATGGCGGCAGCGTCTCCCCCAGCACATTCCCATACTTTGCTTCTTAGAGGAAGAGGGAGGGGTGCACTGGATGTCACTAGCCCCAAGGAGCACACCATAGTGTATCCCTGCCCCCCACCTCAGCTCACTCTCTGTGCCCACTTCTAGGAGACAGCAGTGCCCCTCTGTGGGCCTCCACACAGACACATGTGCCACTTGGCCGGATGTGGGGGAGCGGAGGGCTCACACGCAGTGGCCACCGCCACCGCCGCTTTCCTACAGCCAGTCACATGTGCAGCTCTGTGGGCTGGTGACGGGCGGTGTGTGATTGGCCACACACAAGGCCCGTCAGCAGCCTGCAGAGCTGCACATGTGACTGGCCATGGGAAAGTGGTCAGGATGTGGCAGCAGTGGTGGTGGCGGTGCACGATGTGGTGGCAGCAGCAGGCGCTGCATGTAAGTCTCAGTGCCTGTGTGGCCCTCAGAGGGGCACTGCTGCCCTCGCCCCCACCCCAGCCCTGCTCTTCACAGAAACACACTCCCCCTCGCCATTCTTGATCTCGCCCCCCCTGTTCCTTCCCCCCACACACACTTACCTGCTGGGGGAGGGGTGTCTGTATGTGTGTCTGCATCTGCGTGTGTGTCTGTCTGTCCCCTGCCCACCCGGCAGCAGCAGGCACATGGCATCGTGCAGCTCTTGGGGTAGCAGCAGCGAGGTGCAGAGTCCAGCCTGCAGCAGAAACTCCCTTCACTCCACACATGGATCTAGGGGGCATATGCCTCCCGGGCCTCCACCAGGGTGCACACAGTGGTGGGAACCACCCTCCCCTTCCCACAGTCCCCGGATGAACCACTCTCACAGCTCCGTCCCGCACTCTGCCCCGGCTGTGCAGCACCTTCCCCTGTCCCAGCCCCAGTCCCAGTCCCACTCCCTTCCTCACCACAGTGGCCTTGATCTGCACCCCCCCCTTAAAAACAAGAAAAAATATAAAGGGGTACATGAGCTGAAATGTTGAGGCAGAAGGGGTACACTTGTAAAAAAAGGTTGAAAACCCCTGCCATAGGGCATTTGTACACATGCTTGCTCTGCAGCAGCAGGTGCTTTGAAAAGCACCTGGCACTGCAATGCATGCAGTTGTATAATTAACAAAATGAGCATTAGCACTGAGAAAATGCAGGTGGCGCACTTTTGACTAAGTCTGCTCTGATGCGCCAAATGGGCAAAAATGTATGTGTATAGATGCCCATAGAGTTTATTTTGTATTTGAGCATTATGCTGCCAAACTAGGAAAATGAACCACCATGATACAGGCTAAAGATGCATACTTAAGAATTATGTCTATGTCTGTGAGGTGCTCTGCAATCCCTGAGCCCTGAAATCATGCATAAGTAGTAGCAATAGTAATAATAGTTTTGCCTAGCTATGTTTCCATTCTGCTTCATATATCAGTTGAAAACCGCCTCTTTTTTTACCTACCTTTAGGCCTCACATTCTGTCCCTCTTGCTTTCTGAGCTCATAAAAAATGCTACAATTTGTTTCACTAGAAACTCTTTACCCATCTGTTGTATATAATTTATATGCTAACTTGTTATTTTTAATGTATTAATATGTTTTAATTAACTAGTAGTTCTAGTTTTAGTTAACACAGCAGTTCTCACAGAGGTGCAGCTTGGCAGCCACAATGCATAATCCGCCACAACACATACATACACAGAGGTGACACCTGTGACTGCTACTCCAGTCCCCTGGCCCCCTGCAGTCACACTACTTCGTTCTTAACCATTTCTGACTCAGTCAGCACACCCTCCACTACCTTTCTGAATGTTGCTGCACCAGTGGTTGAGATGCACTGGTGGTGCTGCTTCAGCTTATCTCAGTGCTTCTCACTGGGTTCTGCTGCCTCCAGGTAAAACTGCCCCATACCTGCCGCAAAACCAACCTGGGAAGAGCTGTAGCAGCTGCACATGCTCCTCCTGCATTAGGGCTCTGATCAGCCTAAAGCAGGCAGGAGCTGCCTGATACTGTGTAGCCTTTCCCTGTCCCCAGCAGTCCTCCTGGAAACAGTGAAACTATCCTGTATGCTTCTGTTCCTTGGGAGGAACATGAGAGGGTTCAGATAGGAAAGGACTACAGCCCAGCCAGCTTCTGCCTGGTTTTGGCTGATCACAGCCCTAAAGCAACAGGATTATGCACAAGGCAGTTTTACCTGGCTGCTGCTGCAGTGACAAAGCCTGTGTTGTGGCACTCCAGGATGATGCAGCCCCTGGTTGAATACCATAGTTTTAGACTCAAGACCCCTCTCAGAAAATTTAAGCTTTTACTTTTTACTTGGTTTTGACTATGGGAAAATAACATAACAGAGCAATGTTTCTGTTGCAAAGAATTCAGAAAGACCACAACAGGTTAGAGTTTTTGACACTGTGGATTCCTAATTTGCATGAATGACACATGCCCCCAGCGGCTAAGGGGGGCACGGCAGTGGCAGGAGCTCAGCGGCAGTAAGCGGGAGCGCCTGCAGACACTGCCAGTGGTGTTGGGGGGGGAGGAGTGGGGAGGCGAGTGCCACCCAAGGGTCGGCAACCACCTGCAGATGCCTCTGGCAGTTGCAGTGGCGGCCAGAGGGGATCACTGACCACCTGCAGATGCCACCGGCGGTGTTGGCGGGTGGGAGGAAGGGTGGTGAACTGTGACTGCTTGCAGGCTGACTGCACCTTTTTGTAGGGGATGCACCGCCGCACTTGGGGGGTGCATGTGCAGCCCTGTGCATCGCCCTTGATGATTTGAAATCTCTGGGTTTATCTTGTGAATCATGCATAGATGCACATCTAACAGTGCTAAATATATAATTAGGTAAGCTCACAGTGGCCAGCAATTGACTGTTAAAAATCAACGGTTTTAACACTTTCACAGTGAAAATAACTGTGGCCAAAATTCTGTAGCTACAACTGCATGAAGAACAGATTATGTCATTCAGTTAGACCCCCTCTACATGTGCAGGTAAAGGTACAATGGGCTCCAATGAGCGATTCACAGTCACATCTCCTGTCATACCACATGTGCATGACAGGAGGCGCAATTGGGAGATCATGCATGAGATTCCATGAGATTCCATCCTGGACTTCCCCTGCTCTGCCAAGAAGCAAGCTCCTGTGGTCGGAAGCCCCATGCATCCCAGTTTCCTACACCCTAGAGTCCTAGGGATCTCAGCAGCCATGATCTCCGGGGCCCGGGGATTTCATGCTGGGCATGGTGCCCCCCCCACCCCGCAGTTGGGATCCCTGTCACCTGACGGGCTCTCAGTCACAGGGGCGACCCTGCTCCAAGTGCAAATTAAAGCTCAGTAGCAACCAGTTCTAAAGTTAGTACACATTTTTGAGGTCTAACTTTATAGTTGGTTGGAGCTTTTTATTATATAATAGCTACTTTGCATGTATAGCTGGTCTCCAGGTAATTGCACAACTAACCAGTTCATTGTGCAATATCTGTACCATGTAGACAGTTACTTAGACACCCACAGTACGCACATAAGTGCAAAACCATAATTTCACCCTCCAGAAGTAGACAGGAAAAAACACATTTTAGAAACTAGTCCTTACCAGATAAATGGGAGACAGCAATCTGAGTGCAGGTGATCAGTACTTATGAGCACAATTATGTCCATTTGGGAGCTAACATGTTCCCCACTGGCTGAGCTCTACAGTCAGGGAAGACATCTATGGTTAAAACCTGATTACAGGGCTACTTAACAATTTTATAAATATTCTAAAAACATGATTTATATTATCTGTGGAAGCAAGAACAAACTACACTATGTTATCACATATGAGTGTACAGTTTAGTTCAGTTATCCACCCCAATCAAGCAAATGCTGATGATCATACCTTCAAGATGCTGAAGGATAAAGATTTGAACAGTATATGCATATATTAATTGCATAGAAATATGAACTAATGTAAAAGGTAACAACAATAAAATGTTGTCAAGGCATGAAGATTATGGCAAATTGTCCAAAAGAGAATGCTGAGAAAATTAATCATAAACAATTTGAATCAAGAGTATTGTTTTGGGGTTTTTTCGTACTGACACAGACTCTTAGATACTCATCACTGCTTATTACCCTTTTTTCCCCAAAACAAAACATGCACAAACCACTTTCATTATAAAATCCTCTCTCCTCAAAACCCAACTATTAACTCACTATTTAGGCTAAGAGAAATGTATCACACAGCTGCCACCTGCTGTTGAAAGAACAACCCAAAGCACTGTTGAAATTGTATTCCCATTTGAGGAACTGGGGACCATTATTCTAAAATGGCTTCTACCAATAAATATATGAAAACAAAAGGGACTTCAGGTTTTTGAGAATGAAGATTGTAAGTCAATAGAGAATGACCTAATAATCAATCCATCCCCATTTCCACCTGCAACCAGAAGAATTCTTTGAATAAACCTTTAAATTAAACATCCATGCAGTTTTCAGGGAAGCTCATGGCAACCTGAAGAGAAAGCTCCAAAGAAAACTGCTGTAGATAGCTTAGTATTGCCATACAAGAGCTAAATAGACAAAGCACATTAAACAGCATCTAGCTCAGTATCTGATCTCTGACAGCAGCAAATAGTCACTGCTTTAGAGGGTAGCTGCTTTAGAAGGAAAGTATATGCACAGAGCATTTCTAATACCATCCACCCCTGACATACCCTCTGTGGTATCAGCCACCATTGGGTTAAAAATGTCAGAGGATACACATCCTTGACTAATTAAGATCTCTCAATGGACCAGTACTCCAAGAATTTGTCTAATACCTTTTTTGAACCTTGTTATACTTAGTGAGGAAAATGGTGATGGAAGTTACATCTCAGGCTTAAAGTGGATCTGAAGGGGATGGTGACAAATGGTCCAAAGTAGTAAATGGTAAAGCAATGCACATCCAAGGAGGTGTGATGTGAATTAAAAATCCTGACTTAACTCTTTTAAAAAATGAGTTTTGTGATAGAAATGGCAAATTGCCCTTTGCTATAAAGTAATGGTTGATAAACAGGTAAAACAGTAGACTGGGTTAAACTGGTAACACTTACAGTGCCTGTTTATCTCAGCCCTACATATTTTGCCTATGAATATAGCTAAGATTAACCACTTCATCCGGCCCACCGAAGGATTAATTTAAATGCAGCCTGAAGCTTCTGTGCTAGACAGTTACCTAGACTAAATTACTGTGCATCTCAATGAGATGAAATTCAACCTGTAGCATAACTTTCTCCTCCTCCTCGAGACATTAAATCAATCTGTCTCATCATTATAATTCAGGGTGCAGGCACTGTCTGAAGATAGAAAGTCAGACTAAATCATATAAATAGCTACTACTTAAATCCCCAGCAATCATGAACCATAACTGTTCGTCTGGAATAACATGAAAAACATCTTAATCAGGGGTGGCCAAAATACAGTCTCTGGCAACATAATCCACAGCTGCTTTCTTGAGGCAATGCAGGTCAGGCAGTCTGCATGTCCCAGTATGCCCTGCTCCACCCCGATCCAAACATCTTGGTTTTTAAGAAGCTGATTTTCATTAAATATTTTGTCCGTGCTACTGCATGTCCACTTTGTGTATATCCTAGCTTAGGGATATATAGGCATATATTGTTAATAGCAAACTGCACAGCAATTTGTATTTTGGCTTGCAACTGTGTGTAGATAAGGTAGATATGAACTTATACAATTGCTGACACTTTTGAAAGACAGTTTGCTTTAACGATCTAGCAAAAGTCATCATGCTTGGTTCCTTTGATTCTCATAGGGTGGAAACAGATGCCATCTAATTTCTCATTTCTGCCGCCTTAAACATTTTTAAGGTGGCACAAATGCAGACCTAACAGATATCCTGCCCATACGCTTTGTTGCACCAGATGACAGGAAAATCAGTGGCATAATTAAAGGTAGCAATAAACTCTGCTGCTTTATTGCAGTGGATGTCTATTACCTCGTGGTGCTTTCCTTGCTGCTCCAGACCTGGGCCATGGGTCTGGGGAAAAGTGTTTCTCCACTTAGTCAGGTCCATAAGGCTGGCTGGAAAGGAGAAAACCTCCTTTTCCTCACTGCCCTAGACCCATGGTACAGATCTGGGGCAGCAGGGAAAGTGGGGAGATCATGTCGCTCTTTGTCCCACATCATCAAAGTTGGGACGGGGGATATGTGTATTTGGCCCAGTGAAGTGAATCAGGTGTGCCATGACACATTACAGAACAGCTGAATCGCTCTATTTGGCAACATCTGTTTCTAGCCATAGAGAAATGTTATCACCTATTTTGAGCAGAGTGACTGTTCCTAATACAGTTGAACTCAAGCATTGCTTTGTTTATGTGCAGAAGTATTTTCTGGTAAGGAAGAAAGAGGCAAAACTGTGCAATATGAAAGCTTCTCATTCTAGTTCTCTTCAGAGTTAACAGCTGCTCAGAACAGATTCTTACCACAAGTATTTTTTCTTGTTTAGTGTTGATTGAGTGACCCACTGTAAAGACTGTGTTATATCCATTTTTTCTTACAAGAAAGCAGAAAGGAAATTTAAAAAGTAGAAAAAAAAGGGACAAGAAGTGCTGATCACCTTAGAAGTAAAAAAAAAAAAAAAGATCAAGCTACAGACCTAAGGTTATAGGGATACTAACTCCTGCCTCCATGTTTAAGGCTTAGTTTTCTATTGATGCAATAGTTGTGGTATTAGTATAGGACAGAAATACAATATTGTTCCAATTACATTGGTATCTTTTCCCCACCTCAACAAGAATGACCCTATACTTATAAAAGAGTTCAAATTATAATTGGAAGGCCAGGGTACAAGTGCATGGAGCAGATGATCATGTATATTG